TATAGTTTAAACTTTATGTATATAAATTACATATAATAATTTCTTATATATATTAATAAACTAGAGTAAAGTCTTATTTTAGCTGGAAAAAAAAAATAATTTAATTTAATTATTATAAACTTATAATTATATCAATATCTAATTTCAATAAATATATAATTATATTGCTATTAAAAAAAAAAACTCTTTCCCACTTCCCTCCCTACACTTGAAAATTTCCTTTTTAGGAAATTTTTAATTTGTTTTTTTCGTTTTTCCCCTTTCTCTAATACTTTCCTTTTCTTATTATTTTTTTCTTTCTTCTTCCTTTTTTTTTCTCTTTCTTCTACAACACTTTTTTAATATATATTTTCTTCCTCTTTTCTTTCATCTATTCCCTGCTGAAGTTAAGTTTTTTCCTTCTCTCTAAAGTTTTTCCTCTCTAGGCCTCTCTTTTTCTTAAAATTGTTACTTTCCATCTCATCACTTCTTTGGCCAGTTGACTCTCTTTTCTCAAGTATCATATTAAGAAATAATAGCTTCTTTTATGTTGTAGACCTTAAGAAGTTTTTTGATTTCATGATTTTTTAGAAAAAGAACAAATGGTTTACTCCTCCAAAAGATCAATATAGTCATCATTACCATATTCAGTGTTGTTTACTTGTTGATAGTTAGACTAGATACATCTTAGAAGTCACTATACAACTATTGTCATTTGAACTCCTAAGGAGTTGCGCCCCACTATATCCAGTTATATGGTAGCCAATGCCAGTATAGAATTTTACAAGTGTTATGCTGATGTCTGGAATATCTAGTAAGATAATACATAATGACCAGGAATTCTAGTTACCTTTGCAAACAGAGCTGATGTCGACAACAGAAGTTTCTCGACAATATAGATCCATGTGCATGGTTAGGTAACAACATCTTTAAGAAATTCCAATCCAATTCTATTTATTGGACACTTCTATCACACTTGAAAAATGGGTATGCCAAACTCTTTATGTAACTTGAAGACCAATCTGTAAAAAGTGGCTATAATATCTTCATGTATAAAAAAACCAACTCTTTCCTACTCCACTCTCTGCTTGCTATACATCAAGTCAAAGCTGAAAAGCAAACATGCAAATCCTAGTTATAACTTGGAGACCAATCTGTATATTTGGCTGCAGTGCCTTTATATAACTAGATATTATACAAACATGCCAGGTCTGGGCTAATCACTACTTAAGAGCTTATAAAATTTTTATTGTTTTTTTCTATTGCTTGAGTGGTTAGTTAAACTAAGATAAAATAATCAAATTTTGTGTTATATATTAAACTCTTCTTAGCAAAGAAAGATGTAGTTCAATCTTCTATAATTATAATATTGCTTTTTAGTAATCTCTTATAAATAAAAGAAAAGACTGACATCACTTTAGTTTTAAAAAAATAAAATAATTATATTGCTATTTAATTGTGATTATATTATTTGTTCAATTATTATTATAAAATAATTTTACAAACAAATTGATATGTAATTATAACTAAATCACTATAGTTTTATAATTATTTGATAATAACTTAATAAAAATTTTAAATTTTTTAATTGTTACTTAATTGAAAAAATTTGATAACAAAATAGTTATTGCTGCTATAACTAAATTACAATAATTTTTTTACAAATATTGTGTAACAATTCTGGATTACATGTTGCACAACCTGATTACTTTAATAACTTGGATCCTCTTGATTAGCCTAAGCACTCTGATCAGTCACATGTGAATGATACAATATTAACTCCTGACAATGTGATCTTATAGTCATTCATATATATTTTCTAATTTGGAGTGATTATAAATAATTATGAAATAATATTACTATATTTAAATAAACTTAACTATAGTTGTGTTCTATTATTTACTTCTTTATTTTATTTATTTTATTTACTTCTTTATTTTTCTATTTTTATTTTTTCTTTTACATATATTTTTCATGTTGACTCAAAATATATAAAAAAAATATACTTTTGATTTGAATAAACTTAATTTTTTGTTTAAGTTCAATAAATATCTCTCTTTAAGTTTACTGTTTAATTGAAATTACTCACAATTTTATAAGATTTTTATGTACTGTAACTATTTGGTAATAGCTTGATAATTATTTGGTAAAGTTTTAATAGTAAAATAATTAAAAAATAAGTATTTTCAGTAAAGTATTTAAAAACATCAGTTTTTTTTATTTGTTTTTTTTTTTTGAAATAAACTTTTTATATTTTTGTAAATAAATATTAAAAAAATCTATTTATAAAATTAATATCAAAAGTATTTTATTAAAAAAAAAATTTATAAAAATATATATATATATATATTTAAAGATTTAAGATTTTAAAAAAGATTGTTTAGATTTTTTAAACTTTTTTATATTTTTCTTAAATCATTTTTTTACTTTTTTAAATATATAATATTTTTTTAAAGAGTTTATCCATTTTAATTTAATCTTAAATTTTTGATTATATTGAAGTTTCTAAATAATAATTAACTTGAAATTTAAACTAATTAATTTATATGTAATAAAAAATATAAACAAGATATATAATTTTTATATATTTTATTTTATATAATAATAAATCTAATAATATTATTAAATATAATAAAAAAAACAAGCTAATAAAATATTTATCTTACTAAAAAATATTATAATATATATATATTTTTATATTAATTTTTTTCATTTTAATATTAAAATTATTTTATTTCAATTTAATAAAAAGTTTTTTATGTTAATAATTATTTTGAGAAAATATTAAACAATAATTTTATTTGAATATAAAACTTGTTTTAAGCAATAATTTTTATTGATATAAATTTTATTATAAATATTTTTAATATTCTTGATTAGTAATAAAATAGTAGAAATTAAATAGTTTACTTGATAGTAAAGAATTTATTTTAATAGATTAAGATTGATTTTAAAAATTTTTATTTATTAGAATAAAATTTTCAACTATTTTTTTTTTTTTTACTTTTTTAAAAAATATATTTTTTTATTTCTTAAAATTATAGATTTATATAAAATAACAGTTTAACTATAGATAGATTTTAATTTTTCAAAATTAAAGTTATAATACTTAATTTTAAAAGAAATAATTTTTAGTATTTTTTATAATTATATCTAAAGAATTAAAATTTAAAAAGTCTAATATAATTAATATTATATAGTAATTAATAGCTTAATAAATTTATTTTCTTATAATAAAATATTTAGTAAATAATTAAATAATATAAGTAACTTAGTAATTTTAATATTAAAAATTTAAAGATTATATACAAGTTTATAAATAATTTATTAACAAATGTTTTATAAAATAAAAAATTTTTAGTTTTAATATAATATAATATTATATATTAAATTGTTGTTACAATTAGATTAATAAAAATAATAACCTGTAATTTAATTAAAAACAACAATAATAATAAACATAATTTTATATATAATTATGATTAATATTTTAATAAAATATTTTTAAAATAAAATAGCTTTATATTAAATAATTAAATTAATATTAATCAAAATAATATAGTTTCTAGTTAAAAAATTTATTAAAAAATTTAAATAAATATTTAAAGTCAATTTAATTATTTCAATTAATTTGTAAATAAAATATAATAGATCTTATTATTATAATATAAAATTATTAAAAAACTTGTTAAACTAAATATATAAATTTAAAAATAAAAACAATAACAGATAGAAATGAATTATCAATTATAAGAAATTACTTATATACTTAAAAGAAAAAAGTATTAAATTAAAAAATTATATAAGTTTTAAAATAAAAAAAATTTTTTTTATTTAATATTTAAAAATATATCGATTATAATAATAGGATAATACATATTGTATCTAATATATCTTTATATCTCAATATTGAATATATCATATCAAATTTATTTTTTAAATAAAAATTATAAAAATATCTATTTAATACTAAAAAATAAATTATCTTTAAAAAAATTAATATTACTATAAACGATAAATAAATACTATAAAATAACATTTATTATATAATAAATTAATTTATGTTGCTATTTTTAATGTTTGTGACATTTGCGACTCATTCCATAAATGCCATGACTCGTGGGTAAGTATTTTATTATAGGTAATCAACGAGAAACACGAAAATCACAAACATGTTAACATTAGTGTCAGAAACATTCAAGGGGGTTTACAACGTAAAATAAGTAGTCTTAGCGCTCTTTTACCTAATTCCTTTTCTGTTTGTCTAGCTAGGATAAATGAATATTTCCTAATAGATGATGATGTCATAGACGGGGTCAAATGGTGCATATAAATATAGCACACGAGATGACGCATGCTAATGTTATTTGTTATTCTTATTTGGAACAGATTACTATAAAAGTAAATATTATTTATATGTGTCTTTAATTACGCAATCTAGTTATTTTTGATATTATTAAACTCGCACCTAAATCCAAACAGTTGCTGGTTTTGATGAACAAAGTTGCATTAATAGTATGTATCATATACGCATGAGGTGATATTGTATTGTTCATGATGTCGTCTTCGTCACAAGGCGCAAAGTCAATAATGATAACAACAGTCTGTGTCTATAAATATTAGTCACTTCCCAAGTTTTTCAAAGATTCCCCAAAAATTTTTTTTTACCCATCAGCATTGTGTGTGTGCGATGTGTAAATAATACCAATCCTTACTTAGCATACACTCATTGAAATTTAACCGAAGAAAGCAGTGAAAATCGGTTTCATATTAAACATTTATGAATCGATAGTCAGGAGCCTTCATACTCTCTCCTTTTCACCTTGAATCTTCTCTTACTTGATCTCCACTCACGTTTTGTGAGACGATCTACAACTTTCTTGTAAGCTATTCATCTTCTGTAAATAATAACAATAGTAATAATAAAAACCTTGATCTTGAGATAGACTACAAGCACTCTTCATGACAAAAAACGTTTCTACCCTACTCGACATAATTCAAATATTCGTTATCAATCACACATGGAATACTCGAATATGGAAAACAATGAAGATGGTGCTGAGCGCCAATATCCCTTATTACCATCTACCATGGAATTTCCACCACAACAATCATCCGAAGAAGACATATATGGTAGTCCGAAAAAATCTTCACTTCCACAAAATATCAACAATAACGACGATGAATCAGGCACTTGTTCCACGTATCAACCAACCCTGTTACCAATCCCATTTCATCCGAACTACGGCACAATAAATTCCCCTATCAATAATCACAGTTTTAATAACAGCAACCCCAGCAGCAACCGAAACTCTAATAATTCCTCATCGAATAGTAGCAGTAGTCAGAATGTTGTTGATAATATACTTACAAATTTCACAAATTCATCACACAATTTAAATTTAAATTCCAAAAGAAGTTCTAATATCATAATTCCTCAAACACCTTCTCCGGTCTCAAAGAGAAGTTCGAAGAGCAATAGTTTTAACGCGGTTCATCCTTACCCACCTATCCCTAATAATAACCATCCAAATAATTCAGACAATCCATCTTGTGGCCTAGAGCCTTCATCAATACGAGGAAACTACAACTCACTTCGCCCACCGGAAGACGGTAGTCTCCACTTAAACACAGATACTAGTGACATCAACAACTTAGGAGCTGACGAAGAAGGCGAAAAAAAAAGAATTTGCGGCGGATTTGTACAGAAAAGGAATTATTGTATATGCTGTGGAATTTTGATTTTGGTTTCTATAATTATGATACCCGTTGCTATATTCGTGATCGTTCCAGCCATAGCACAGAATGTTGTAAACAGATCTCTACTTCAATTCGATAATGTAAAGTTAACTAACATTACGGAAGACAGCTTTACCTTGAGTGTTTCTGGGAGAGGTTGGTGGTGGTTTTTGATATCACAATTGTGTTGATACTCAACCATTAACATTAAATACCTTACCAACAGTAACGAACACCGGTCCATTGAAAGCAACAATCTCCCTACCGGATGGCGTGAACATTTACTGGGAGAAAACGTTGATAGGTCACATGTCATTAGATCCAATAATCACAATGCCTTTTGTGGGTGCCGATATACAAACCACTCAAACATTCATTGTACTTAATAAAACTGCATTTGCATTGTTTAGTAAGTATATGCTAAATGGAAAAGAGTTTACCTGGCATCTAGATGGTGGGGCCAAGGTTAACACTCTAGGATTGTATTTGAATGGAATTCGATTGTCCAAGGATGTTATCATGAGAGGTACGTTTAGTATCATAATTCCTAATCTGTCTTTAAAGGGTTGTGACATATTCTAATTCTATCTAATGATGCATAAAAGGGATGCAAGGATTCCCGAATGTAACCGTAGACAAATTCGATGCTCCATCCACAAATCCGGATGGAGGTATCACTATCGAGATCACATCATCCCTCATAAATCCTTCATCAATTAGCATAGAGCTTGGCGACGTATTCTTCGACGTCATCTTTCAGAATCAAACGGTTGGTCAAGTGTCATCCACAAATTTCACTCTGCTACCTGGTC